CACCTGGGGTGCCTTCCCTGTCCCCTTGCTCACCCCCAGGCGAAGGGCTGGAAATGCCTGTGGTTCCCAGCCCCACGTGGGCTGCCCAACGGGCCCTGACTCACTGCCCTCCCTTCCCTCCCAGGGGCGACTGGGCCTCCTGCCCAGGCTGAGCCAGCACCGCCTCCGTCGTTTGGCGTCATGGGGATGAGGCCCTGGGGGGCTGGCATGGACCCCAACTGTGCCAGAGGGTAGGGCCTGGGGAGCACCCTGGGTAGTGCTGAGCCCTCTGCTGCTGCAGCAGGAAAGAGGCTGCTACTGTGCTGGGAAATGAGGTGATCTGAGGGTCCCTGCCTCCCCCTGGGTCAGGTCTCTCTGGTGCTTCCATGAGGGAGCCTGGGCCCCGGCAGACTCGTGCCTTCGTGGAGATGAGGACGTTTCTCTGTTCCCGCGTCGCTCCCCAGCTGGCCCGGCTCTCCCTGACTTTGTCTGTCCTACAGCTGACGCCGGGTGGGAAGGCAGCCCAGGCTGGCGTGGGAGTGGGCGACTGGGTGCTGTCGATCGATGGGGAGAGCACCAGCTCCATGACACACATCGAGGCCCAGAACAGGATCCGCGCCTGCGGGGACAGGCTCTGCCTCACCCTGAGCAGGTAGGACTCGTTGGTCCGCCAAACCTGGGGTCCTGGTGTGGCCAGAGAAGAGCCAGGGCCCTCTGCTCAGTGCCATCTCCTGGCATCGTTGCTCCTTACCTGGAGCTGGGCTTGAGGGCTCCACTTGGCTGGATGAGACTTAGCCTGGCTGCCCACCTGCATCTGCGAGCCATGGGGCAGTGCCAGCCGTCCATGGCTCCCCGTGGGTGGGTGCTGCATCCCTGGGGTACTAGTGTCCCAGCGATGGCTGGGCTGGTTCCAGCACCTGCCTGACTGTCTCCTCTCTTGCAGAGCCCAGAACCACCTGGGGAAGCCGCAGAAGGTACGTGTTGCTCCTCGGGCTGCAGCGGCAGCTCAGCCTCGTCTCAGGGCAGGGAAGTCCCTGGGTGTAGATGGACAAACGGACTTCGCTCCTGAGGCCCGCAGACTTATGGGGAATCAGGGTGCCTTTGGAGGGCTGGAAAACTCCAGCTGGAGGAGCAACTCTGACTCCCAGCACTGCAGGGGATCAGAGGGATCAGGGTCTGCCCAGCAGTTGCTGGGGCCCTGGCTGCCCCCAGCCTGTG